TACTAACCTTCGTATAGCATACTATTATAACGTAAGTTATACGTACGTCGGCCGCGTCGCCTCGTACCCTTCCCCCCGGCGACTGGTGGGCCGGCGTGGCCCAAGCAGAGCGCAGGCAACCAGCGGACGGGGCGGGCGGGCCCCTGCAAAATCAGCCACGCTCGCCCCGCCCCCCGCCCAGCCTAGCCCGTTGGCGCACGGACTCGCGACCAGCTCGACCCTAGCCGGTCTGTCTGCCTCGCTCGACCATGTCCTCGAGCTCCCAACATGATTTCCCCTTCACACCAGCAACGAGGCAGGCAAACGCCCGCTCCTGGCTGTTTCACGCCCCCTCCCCTTTCTCGACCTCTTTGCGGAAAGCAAAACACACGGCCGGGCGACACGACAGGGAAGCCAAGGTGGCGCGATTGCAGCTGGAAGGCTACGACAAACGACAGGAAGGGGGTCAGAGGTGAGGTGCGATGCATGGAGTACAACAAGAGTCAGGTGATTATGAAAGAAGGAGTCGGGGTTGACTTTACACGGTGTTGATGAGGACGGGACGGGCTGCCAGAGAGTTGCGGGAGATGGATCCATAGGGTGACGTGTATGCGAGAGTGCCTCGTCCGACGACGAAGACGACGACGACGAGAGGCAGGAATGCAAAGGTAAAGAGGGGAGGGAGCGAGTCGAAATTGCCGCCCGTGACTTGCAGATGGGACAGGGAACGAAAGGATTGCGGGTAGCTCGAGATCGATGACTGTGATTGCGTGGTGCCTCGCCGGAGGCAGCTTGCTGGGGTGATGAATAGCTGGCTCGATCCCAGCAGAGAGATGGCGGGGACCATGTGCGAGGGCGAGGGCGACAGGGAGGGCGAGGGTATGCCCCTCAGAAGGTGGCCAGGCGATGCGTTCATCCGGGTTCGCGGCTAGGAAGTGAGGCCGTTGGCGTTGAGGAGCGCCTGCAGGAGCAGCTTGTCGGTCTTGGCACCGCGCCGCAGCGCCTCGACCATTGCAGGCTCGTCGAACATGGCCTTGGCCGGCGAGGCGCTCCTGGACGGAGATGAGTCGGCAGCGGGGGCGGCGGTCGGTTCGGACACGGTGCTGCCCAGGCTCTTCTCGACCTCCTCGAGCGACTGCGAGAGGTTCTTCCAGTTGCGGTCCTTTTCGCGCAGCGCGTGGATGCTGAGCGACTTTTCGAGCGCCGGCAGCATCGCACGCCTCACGTCATGGCTGGGCGCGGGCGGCAGCCTGAAAGTGGCGCCGTCACTGCCAGACATGTCGACAAAGGCGTCCATGAGCGACAGCGAGTGGCCCTGGCCCGCCGATCCGGCCAAACCGGTCGCCCTCGCCTCGGACCCCACTGGCAGCGAGAGTGGAGCCAGCTGGGCTTCGCGGAGATGGCGCATCGCCGAGCGCATGGTGAACTGCACCTCGTTGAGGATGGTGAACCAGTTCTGCGCGCGGATCTCGAAGGCCTTGGCGCCGTGGGCGGGCAGCGCAGACGAAGACGTGCTCGGTTCGCCGAGCGTCTCGGAGCCCGGAGGCAAGAGGGCGCACATCGACTCGGCGGCCTGGGACAGCAGCACCGCCAGGCGCTGTGGGCGGGCAAGACGAGCAGGGAAGGTTGCGATATCGGCGTTCAGCAGCATGGCCAACGAGCGAAGGGCAGCGCCGTCGTCGGCCTGGTCACTTCTGGCCTCACTCACCTCGTCAGTCTGCATGAGGAGCATGATCTGCTCGTCGGTCTTTGTGTTGCTCCTCTTCTGCTCCAGCTCGACCCGCAGGGCGTGGGCGGCCCGCCTGTCCTTCTGGACCTGATTGAACTTGTCCTCGATGCGCTGCTTCTGCATGCGCACGTGCAGCGAGTCGGCCGAGTCCTCGGGGAGCGAGCGCAACGTCACCGGATCTTGGGACGAGAGGGTAGGCGCTGCTGCTGTCGCCATGATGGTGGTCAGGATGCAGGGGGTTGCGAGTACAGCGCGTGCTCGAGAGGCGTAGCGCGGCTTGGTGACGGGCTGGACCAGGGCGGGCCAGGCTAGCTCGAGGTGTTCGCAATGCTAGCGCTGCGGTTGCAAATGGGGACAGCGAGGACAGGCGGCTTGGACCGTGTGTTCGCGCGGCTGGCGTGCTGATGACGGAGATGTGAAAGAGCGCGAAGATGGGATGAATGCCCACCGTGTCAGGGTGTAGCCTGGAAGGGAGCGCCTGATGAACGGCCGGGGAGCCAACGAGTCTGGCCGGGTCGGAAGCGTGTGATGTGGCGAGTGTGTGTGTGGTGCAACAGGACGAAAAGGGCAACGAAGGTGGGGTAGTGATGGCGGTGGTGATGGCGGCGGTGGTGGTGGTGGCTGAGCAAAAGACGGGGTCCAAGGGCCCTCCAGGCTCGAAGGCTGGGCTGCGGGAAGCTGTCAGCGTTGGCCGGGCTGGCTGCGGGCGCGGCGCGCGGGCTGCCTCGCTTGATCCTGGATCTGCGTTTCCGCTTCCCTGCCTGCCTCTTCTCTCGCTGCTTGCAAGGTGCAACGACGACGACGACGATAGGAGGCCAGATCGACTGTCACTTGACGAGCAGACAGAGGCCAGGCGCTCGCTCCCTGGGGCCATCCATCCTTCATGCCGCCAGGCTAGGGTTCTGGCCTGGGCAGCCCATCGCTGCTTGCCTGCCTGCGCTTTCGCCCAGGTGTTGTGGCCGCCCGCCCTGCTCGGCCCTGGCCTAGGGCCCTGTGGAAGCCCGGCCAAGAAGCTCGACAATTGACTCTGGGGGCTTCCATCGTCACGCCCTCCTCCCTGTCGGCAAGCACGTAGGCCCGCAGGTATCAGCTGGGTGCCACGCTCGATGGGCCACGCATCGCACACACCCTCGCCTCGATGCCTAGCACGCCCAAAATGTCAGCAGTAGCAGCGGCCTGTCATGGCATGGCATGGCATGCCATCCATCGTACATGTCCACCCCCCCCCCCCCTCCCCCCCTGTTTCCCCGTAGATTGTTCATCTCTCCCTCTTCATCTTGTAGACACGGACGCCTTCACTCCGGTAGGCTCATTGACGACGACGATCGGATCCTTTGTGGGTGATCTTGCTCGTCGCCAGGCACCCTCGCGCACAACAAAGCGGCCGAGGTGGTCCGGCGATGGAGACGGCTTTGGCTCTCGGTCCACTTCTGCCGCCACTGCACCGCCATAGTCTTTGTTCGCACCTGCTTAAAGCCGCCGACCATCGGCGCCCAGCACCCCGCTCCCGGCGCACTTGCAGGCGCGACTGCAGCAATGTCGACCGGCTTCGATGGCGGCAATATTGGCGGGAGAAAGGGCGTCAAGGACAAGCAACGGAGTGAGGGCGGACGGCGACGGCGAGAACAAAAGGGGATCAGACAGGGGGTCCAGATGTATCGCAGCACGAGACGCCGACCAGGCTGCTTGGCGGTGCCTGCCCGCCTTTGGTTCCGATCCGTAGCAGATCGAACGAGGGGGGCTTGCTGCAGACAAGAAGGTGCACGGGCGGGCCAGGCTCGGTCGGTCGGTCTCCGTTCCGTCGTTTGTTTGAAGCAAGAGACGTCACGCCGGCCTCCTCCCGGTCTGGCCGAAACGCCGCCATCGTCGTCGCCGGCCCTTGACGATCGTCGAGGCTGGAGACAAGGCAGAAGGACACCGGAATGCTGCCAACCAGAGTAGTGCTCGCCGGGCAGGCCGAGTCGGACGCCTTTTCGAGCGGTACGCCCGTACGATGTGCGCTGTCTCCGATTCGAGACGCGCCGTCGTACAATGGCGGCCATCGATAGAGAGCGCAGGTGCGGTGGCGTGGTGTTGTATGACGACGACAACGGTGATCCGTCGGACTCGCAGCGCCTCGATGCCATCTCACACCGTCAGGAGCGAGCGAGCGGGCAAGAGGGGCTGCTGCTGGTTGGGACGGAGAAGGACAGTGGTCGGAGGTCCAATCGGGGCGGGCGTTGAAAGTCGGGAAATGTCGACCTGCGGATCGAGGGCATGGATGGATGGGCCCGTCGGTCGACGACCAAGCAAGCAACGGTCGACGACCAAGCAAGCAAGCCAAGCAGCGGAGGCGGAGGTAGGACCCCAGGGCCCCTCGTCAGGGTGCGGGACCCTACCGGCCTGCTCGCTGCCCGCTTTCCCTACCTCGACGAGGTTTTTCCGACCGGCCAAACGGAGAGTGAAGCACAGAGAGAGTGAGCGACTTCGTCGAGAACGTGTGTCGTGTCAGTAGTAGTCTTGGTCTGTCCGAAGGCTGGCATTGCTTCATCCATCGTCGAATGACGACGAGCCAACCAGCGAGCGGGGTCGAGACCTTGGTCCTCAAATCTCGTCTAGGTACGATGGGGCCCGTCGTGCCGTTCTGGAAGCGACCTTGGCTCGTCTGGCCAGGCCCTCGTGCAACACTGCCTGTCAGGCCGGATTCGATGGGCGTTGCAGATCGCCTTCTGTAGCCTTGCCTGCCCCGCCTGGCCCCCTGCCCAGCCGCCCGCCTCCCATCGGTCAATTCCCATCATGCTCAGACCCTCCCCTGCCAGCGGCATGACTGGACGGGATCCCACACAACAGGGTCAGGTATGCGTCCGCGGTCGGGCCCAGACCTGGCCTGAAACACGGCATCACCATCGCCCTTCAAGTCACCCCGTCAAAAGATGGGCAAGGAAATTGAAGCAAGCAAAAAGAGACTCCTACGGGGATCGAACCCGCGACCTGCAGAATGCAACCACATTCAGTGGGTTATCCTTCGGAGACCGAAGTCTGCCGCGCTACCACTGTGCCAAAGAGCCGGTTGATGTCATGGACCCTAAATTTTCTATATATCATATAATATTCCTGCACCCCAGGTCAGCCCGGCCCCGGGCCCACCGCGAGATGGGGAAAGGTCGCGAAAGGACTCCCCTATCCCCGACCCTGGCACTCCTCCGCTCGTTTGAAGAGCAAGGTTGGTCGGAGAGGCCTCGACAGCGACGTCGATTCAGACTTGTTCTCGATGCTTTGGACCGCGAGACTGGCTCGAGCGCAGCCGGGAACGGCGACAGGCTCGTACAGTGTTCAAAGATGTGGCGAGGCCAACGAGGCTGCTTCGCGCGTACCACCCACCCCGCAGCGGATCGGAGCGACAGGAGTAACGCGCGTAGTCGCTCGTAAGCCTGGATGGATGGATGAAGCAGCTCCGGAACTCATTGCAATCTAAGGGCTCTAGGCGATACCGTGTTGTGCGAGCCAGTCGTCGAGCTTTGCGCGCTCGGCGTCAAAGTCATACTCCCACAGGTAGGTCCACCGCTCGACGAGATCCTTGGACAGACGCTCGAGGTCGTCGCCGAGCGGACCGGCAAACTCGTAGACGTCTCCCACCTCGAGGCTCTTGACCATGACTTCGTTGCCGCGCGGTACTCGGATCGCATCGATGCTCCCCAACGCGGCCTATCTCGCGGTGCCCCGGGGAAAAGGGAGCGGTCAGCGTCGTAAAGAGAGGTGAGGCGAAAGGCGAAAGGCGAAAGGGGTTAAGCCGCGTGATGGACGTACCTGCACGTTGGATGCGTTGACGCTCGGGTGGCCAAAGAGGTGGTGGAAGAAGAGCGCGTCTTCGATGGCCTGGCCTGCCATGGCTCCCTCTGCAGGCAGCATAGATGGCAAGGGGCGCGGAGGGTGGCGCGGTCAGCATCACAGAGTCGATTCTCCGGGTGAAACGGGCGCGACTCACGGTGAGGCGTTCCTCCGTGGCTGCGAGGACAGGAGATGTTGGATAGCGGGGGGGGCAACGACGACCAGGTCAGCCTGGCTGCTTGAAAGACGAGAACGGCGGCACACGGCACGAAACTCACGCTGCGTCGCCAGACACAATCACGCGGCCGTTGACGTAGGATTCGAGCGGCGGGTCGATCTGGTGGAGCGCCCACTTGCTCGGCTTGTCGACGCACTGCGGCAGAGCGAGTGGGCAGACGGATCGGCACGGTCAGCGAGACGGTCAGGAGCGCAGCGGGCTGGCTGAGGGGACGCACCTTGAGCATGTTGAGGATGTCTTTGCCCCAGCCTTCGAAGTCGGCCAGCATCGCCTCGGGCGTCGTCTCTTGGGTCCAAGCCTCGCCCGGTGCCAAGCCTGCGCGTGGTGATAGATCAAGTCAAGGTCCGGCGAGGTCCGGCGAGGTCGTTCGGTCAATCAGTCGGTCACACGGGCTCGTCATCGCTGCTCCCCCGCCGTCGGCCCTCTGCTCTGATGCTCACTGGGTCGCTTGGGCCACTGGCTGCGGTCGGTGCGGAAGGCGACAATGTTGACCACGTCACCGCCTTGGATGGGAAAGATGAGGACGTGCTGCGGGAGCGGGCAGTATGGCGAGCGAGCGGGGAGGGAGCAGGGCAGGGCGGTCAGGGCGGGTCAGGGCGGGTCAGCGATACCGTCCCCCGCGATGCGCACTGGACCGGCCATGCCACGTACCCGGTCCTTTCCGAGGAACATCTGCGACTCCCTGGCGTAGAACTTGCCCATCTCTCCGCCGACGGCGTCCTCGAAGCGCTGTCGCGGGATGCAGCCGCGGTAGGCCCAGGTGCCGCTCCACTTGAGCTTGTCGGATCCTGCGACGGCCGAGGGGCCGGACTTTGCCGGGTCGAGGGCGCCGCGGACGTGCGAGTGGATGCCGTCGCAGCCGATGACGATGTCGGTCTGGTGCGTCGATCCGTCCTTGAAGTGGAGGGTGACCTTCTTGCCCTGCCTGTCGCTGGCGTCGGTGGGCTGCTCGATGCGTTCGAGCCTCTTGCCAAACGAGACGAGCTCTTTGGGGAGGCGGCGGACGAGGGTGTCGAGGAGCTCTGCGCGGTGGATCGAGGCGGCGCCGTGCTCCTTGCAGAGGGTCTCTGCGAGGAAGCGCTGGTCGTCTCCCTCGCCGATGCGCCACTGGAAGTAGAGGTTGCGCGAGGGAATAAAGGCGTGCTTTGCGAACTCGTCGTAGAGGCCGAGGCGGATGAGGGCGTTCTGCGAGTTGGGGCCGATGGAGATGCCGGCGCCGATCTCTGCGAACTGGTGGGCCGACTCGAAGAGATGGACGGGCACGCCTGCGCGGTGGAGACCGATGGCGGTGCAGAGGCCGCCGATGCCGCCGCCGACGACGGAGACGTGGAAGTCCTTTTTGGCTGCTGCCATGGCGAGCGAAGGGAGGGCGAGGGTGCAGCTGATGGCGGGTGAAGGGATCGAGGTGCGACTTGGTCGAGCGTGAGCGGGGTTCTTAGATCTGAGCAATAGAGGCAGAGCGGGCGAGTGAGGATGTGGTTGGAAGGGAAAGGGCAGAGTCGGGGTTCCGGAGGGAGCCTGAGGGAATATGTAGTTCTATGGGGACCAGGTGCGCCGCGAGGGCGAGTGCGGGTGGGGCGTGCGAAGGTGGTCGTCGAGAGACGGAGCTGATGGGAATTACGAGAGCAGCTGTAGGTCAGCCCCGAAGGCAATGAGCGACGTGTGCGGGCGGGGAGCGGCCGGGGAGAGAGAGAGAGAGGAGAGAGAGAGAGAGGCGAGAGAGGCGAGGGAGGCGAGAGAGGCGAGAGAGGCGACAGAGGCGACAGAGAGAGGCGAGAGGCAAAGACGAGGTGTTGCCACTACTCTGTCGCACAGACGAAAAAGTCGGAACGGAACGAGAAGAACGGGGCGCGCCTTGGTTTGTGCGGGGAAGCCACCTCGACTGGCAGGCATGCAGGGCAGTGCAGCACAGTGCAGCACAGTGCAGCCCAGCGCAGCGAAGCGCAGAGGCTGTGATGCAGCATCGACGCATGGGCCACCCTGGCCACCGTCTTTTGGCCTCGAGGCCCACCCCACTACTCTTGCCTCCTCCTCATCACCGCCGCCACCGCCACCACCCACTACCGCCGCTTGGACTGGCACTCGTAAGCAGCAGCATCACGTTCCTCCGCAATGCGGACAGCTTGACACCGCTACTTGTCGCGGCCTACGCTCCGCCATGGCAGCATCGCCGCCCTCGACCGCCGCTCAAGGGGCCACCACCCTGGCTCTCTCTCTGCTCGCCCTCGTCATCTGGTCCATCGCCAGTCTCGACAGTGCGCAGGCCGCCGGTTCATCTCAGCGGCCATTCGTCTCGCCTGGCTCCGCTGCTCCCCCTCCCATCCCACTAGCCGCCTCTGCAGCTCACTCCGCACGACACAACGTATGGCCTCTCGCCACTGCGCGCACTCACCAGCAACCTTTCCCGCTCACCCCAGCCTCTCACGTCGGCGGAAGCAATGACGACCACATTTACGACCAAAACTACCAGCAGTCCGATGGAAAAGCTACTTCCGACGATGCCGTCCAAATCTCTTGGACCCTAAAAAACCATAACGGCTCCATCACCGTACCCGCCTTTTTTCCCAGCCTCGTCCACCTCGACCTCATTCGGGCCGGCATCATCCAGCAGCCCAGCGTCGGCCTCAACGAGGGCATCTATCGCTGGATAATCGACGAGCCCGCATGGACCTACACGGCAGACCTCTCGTCGCTCGTCGCTCGCCACGCTCACCACTACGACCACTTCCACCTCTACTTTCAGGGCCTCGACACCGTCGCCGACGTCTACCTAGGCGATCAGCATGTCGGCTCGACGCACAACCAGCACCGCTCCCACGTCTTTGACGTCACAGAGTGTGTGCACGCTCTCTCCGACCACATCACCTCCCCGCACCGCAACCTCACCATCCGCTTCTCCAACCCCAACGCCTATGCAGCGGGCAAGGCGCGAGCAGGCCGTCACTATTCAGACCAGCGCGAGGCGCCCACGACGTCGAGATCGTCGCGCTACCAGTACCCCAACCGCATGTTCATCCGCAAGCAGCAGAGCGACTTTGGCTGGGACTGGGGGCCCGCGCTCGTGCCTTGTGGCCCGCACCAGCCGGCCTACCTGATCGGCCTCGGCCGACGAGCAGAGGTCCATGGAGCGCAGCCAGCTGCGTTGCCGGTTGCCAAACGACACGCCTCCGACGACTTTTTCGTCCAGCGCCACTCGTTCGACATCTACCGCAAGGGCCAGCGCAACAACCTGGCGCCGGATCAGGACGCCAACTGGATCGTCAATGTCACGCTCAGCATCCTCTCGAGCTGGCACGCCGACGTGCCCAAGATCCGCCTGGCCATCCCGGAGCTGGACCTGTACACGTTTGACGTGCTCCTCTCCTCGCCCGTGCGGCCCGGACTCAACGAGGGGCTCCACGCAACGTTCGAGCTGCCTTCGTCGGGTCACTACGCCCCGGCGCTCTGGTGGCCCGTTGGGCACGGCGAGGCCAAGCTGTACGACGCGCTGATCCGCTCCGACGAGCTGGGAATCGAGCTGAGCACTCGCGTCGGCTTTCGCACCGCCGTCCTCAGCCAGGCGGCGGTGACTGCTCAGGAGGTGCGCGACGGCGCGCAGCCAGGCTCGCGCTTCCAGGTCGAGATCAACGGCGTCGCCATCTACGTGCAGGGGACCAACGTGGTCCCCTTTGACACGCTGGGTCCGCGCACCTCGCCGCGCTACGTGCGCTGGCTGCTCGAGAGCGTGCTGGCCGCGCACCAGAACCTGATCCGGATCTGGGGCGGCGGGAGCTACTCGAGCGCGGAGCTCCTCTCGCTGTGCGACGAGCTCGGTTTGCTCGTCTGGACCGATGCCATGTTCGCCGCCTCCCTCTACCCGGCCGACGCTACGTTCCTCGCCGACGTCGAGGCCGAGGTGGCCGAAGCGGTGCCGCTCCTATCTTCGCACCCTTGTGTCGTCGCGCTCGTGGGCAACAACGAGGGCGAGCTCTACTTTCTCGGCGGCTACGGCCACCGCGATGACGACGCGGCGCTGCAGGTCGAGTACGACCGGCTGTTCAACGTCGTGGTGCGCGATGCCGTGCTGTCGCGCAGCCGGTCGCTCTCCTACATCCCGTGCTCGACGACGACGGGCTACCTGGCCCTGTACCCGGACTACGTGCCGCGATACACGCGCGGCGTCGGGGGTGAGCTGTACGGCACGGGCGAGAACTACAACTACGACATGCGGCAGAGCTTCAACGTCTCGACCTACCCGCGCAGCCGGTTCGTCGTCGAGTTTGGCATGATGTCGATGCCGTCGATCTACACCTGGGATCGGGTGCTGGTTGATCTCCACGAAGGCGACGGGGATGGTCGGGGGGACAGGGGGGAGAGGTACGAGTTCAACGGTACGCAGGTGCAGAACCATAACAAGCACATGCCTGCCGGGAGCCTCGAGTACCCCTGGAACGCGACAGAGGGACAGGGTGAGATGACGTGGGGCGTCCAGACCAACTTCCCCGTCCCTCTCCCTCGTCGTCGTCGTCGTCGTAACGGGGCGGAGATGGACGCGCATGAAGATGAGGTGGGTGCGAAGAGGGAGCTGCTGGCGCAGTGGTCGTACACGACCCAGTGCTTCCAGGCTCTCTACGTCGGTGCCCAGATACTCTACTACCGTCTCGGTGCGACGAGGGCGGAGCGGAATCGCGGCCTCGTCGTTTGGCAGCTCAATGATGTGTGGGAGGGATCGAGCTGGTCGAGCATCGAATATGGAGGAAGGTGGAAGGTGAGTCCGGCTCGCCCCGGCCCGGCCCAGCCCGCGTCGTGTCCTTGCTCGAAGAACATGGTCGACTGACTTGCCATCTCCTCCCTTTCCCCTATCCCCCCTCTCGCTCTCTCGTGCATGTTTCTTCCTCCTTTGCGGCGACGTTGGGTATGGGGGCGAGGGAAGCAGATGATGCATTACGCCTCTGCACGTACCCAAGATCGCATCGTCGCAGCGCCGCTCTACGATTCGGACACGGAGAGGCTGCAAGTCTACATCCTCGTACGTCGTCCCATCTCGTTGGACGATACGGATGCGAACGCGACGCGGCAGCACCATCCTGACCCGTCGCACCGCTTTCCTCGCCTGCCACCAGTCCGACTTCACCGACGTCGCCGGCGGGGGACGGATCGGGGTCGACGTCGGTTGGACGTGGTACGACTTTGACGGGCACGCCCTCTCGTCGCCGCGCCACGAGGTCGTAACGATGTCCGGGTTGGATGCCAGGTTGGTCTACGACGTCTCGACGCGGCCCTCGGATGCGCACTTCGACGCCGCGACGAGAGGGGGATACCTCCACGTCGTCGTCGCTTTCGATCTCGACGGCATCCCGCCGCCGCCGCCGCCGGGGGACGACGACCAACGACCACGACGACATCGACATCGACGGGCAAACGAGCACTTTCTCTCGCCCGCCTCGCTACGCCATGCGCCGTTGCGCGATCCCGGTCTGGGCATCACGCCCATCCCGCCCGCCCCGCCCGACGATGGATGGCGGTTCGACGTCCACTGCGCCGGACCGGGCGTAGCGGCGTGGGTATCCGTCGAGCATCCCGACGACGTCGTGGGCTACTTTGCCGAGATCCTCGCCGGCGCGACGCAGGAGGTGCCGAGTATTGGCTTCTGGATGCGTCCTGGAGAGACGAGGAGGCTGCGCTTCCAAATGGCCTCCCGCTCCTCACCTTCGTCGTCGTCGCAGCGGCCACCGCCCGCGGTGCCGTGGTGGGAGAGGGTCAAGGTGCGGAGCATGTGGGATAGCATGGCATCGTAGCGAGGGTCCTACAGAAGCTGTATGGTATTTGCCGGCTCGAACGATGAACACGGATTAGCAGAAGCAAGCTCGAGCGAAACGGGGAAAGGGGGGGCAGACGGAGACCGCGCTCCTTAGGCGCGACGGAAGGCGCGTCCGAAGAGGCGCACCACTTTTGGCGTGAGGAAGAGCGAGAGGGGCACGCGGAGCGGGAGAAGCGTCTGCAGGGCGGCGTGGCGGTGGCCCGGACGTGGAGCAGAGAGTCGCAGCGGCGCGGGCAAGGGAGGGGCAAGGGGATGGTCAGTCAGTCGGTCGGTCAGCCAGCGATCGGTCGGTGCTGCCAGCAAGCCTGCCAATGCAGCGCGGCACGACGGGCACCGAACGCACCTTAACGACAACGTAGGCGGCGACGGCGTCGCGGATCTGGCCGAGCTTGATGTCTCCGGCGTTTTTCCTGGCCTGTTCGCCAAAGTAGCCCTTTGCCCAGCCCGGTCTGCGGCTCTGCTCGTGCTGCTCGTCGTACTGCTGCAGCGTCGTGTCCGCGTCGCTGTCGGTACCCTTGGCCTTGCCGCGGAGAAAGGCGATGGCGGACCTGGCGAGTCCCTTTGTCACGTCGCCTTCGCCACCCTCGTGCTGGTCCTTTGCCTTGAAGCGGTTGACGGTGGAGTAGACGCCGACGCCGCCCTTCCAGAGCAGCTTGACAAACTGGCGCACCTGGAGCTCGAGGAGGTCCTCGACCGTCTGGACCTGGTTGTTCGTCGGATCCGGCGCGTCGCTGGCCGAGGAGGAGGAAGAGGACGGCGACTGTCCGCGCAGGGATGCGGGCAGCCAGGTGGGGATGGGCTTTGCGAGGATGTAGGATACCGAGGGACCGGCGAGGAGGGCGTTTGCGGTGTTTGTGGAGCGGAAAAAGGCGTAGATGGGCGGGACGAGGGCCCAGGCGACGGTGACGTGCAGGGCGAGGAAGGTGGACGCGTGGACGAGGGGGCGCGCCTTTACGGCCGACCAGCCGCGCAGGTTTGCCGTCGTCGTCGTCGCTGCTGCCGAGGCCCCTCGTGCTGCTGCTGCTGCCGTCGCGCCCTTGACGGATGAGGTGGGAGGTAGGGTGGATACCGGGGTGTGGTCGAATCGGCGTGCGGTGGTGCCAAAGAGACGCAGCGGGGTGAGGGAAGCAAGCGACGGGTGGTATGGCGAGGCGGCGTGGCGCGACGATGTCGTCGACGAGTAGAGGGATGCGGGGGCGATCCAGGCGTGTTGGGGTGCGCCGAGGCGCGAGGATGGGGCGGATGTGGGCGGGGCCATGTCGGGCGAAGCTGGGAACGAAGGCAACGTGGGTGGTGGTGGTGGTGGTGCGGGTGCAAGAAGGCAGCCGAGGATCCCAGAGTGAGGCAGGACGAGATGGATCGAGGCCCGGATGGCCGGCCCTCGGATGCATGCATGCAATTCCAAGCCAGACTTGGACTGCATCTTGACATGACGTGGTGCCCCCGCCCTCGTCTTCAAGGCCCTCGAAAAAGGCCAGATTGGGTGGAGGCAGGGAATGCAGCGCCAGGCTACAGCCTCAGTAGGCCAACTCAGGCTTGCAAGCACGCCTCTCTCGCTCTCTCACACTTCTCTTTTGGCTCGCTGGCTCGCGGCTCGGCACGCTGGCCTGCCGCGCCACCAAGGCAAAGCCAGCGTCGTCAGTCGTCGCCACGCCTCGCCTCTTCGTCCCCCCGCCCTCACGTCCCCTCTTTCGCAGATACACCTGAGCCCAGACTACCATAGTCGTAGACGGACGCAGCTCGTCGTCGCTCCGTCTCGTCTTGTTCCACGCCCGCTGCAGCGCCCATCTCGAGTCACCATCTCGCCCCACCCACCCTCTCCGTCCGCACCAGTCGGCCATATCGCTCAACCCCCGCTCAGCCCACCTCATTCCAAACACGGTAGCACGCAGCTTCACCGTCGTCGGCCCCGCCGCGGGGACATGGACTGGCGACGATGACAGAGCAAAGCATTCCTGCAAAGCCGCGTGGGTCCGCCCCACCCTCAGCACACCAACAACAGCCGCCGGTAGTGGGTGGCGTGTGTCCCCTCGTGACAAAACGTGCACCATCAGCTCGGCAGTGCCCACATTCGCCTTCACATTCACGCCGTGCAACGCCCGGGCTGGACGCAGCTTCGAGCGCGACGACGCCCAGTCGTCTTTGATCAAGATTTTAGCGGTCATGAAAGCCAATGTGGGCCTCCTCGCACCGGTCCTCCCTGGACAGAGCTGCTCGGTCGACATTCATCGCACCCACGGCTGCCTACATGGGGTGCTTCCCTCGGCCACGCTCCCCGTGGAACCAGACGGAGACTGTACATAACAGACCCGCCCGACCCCTCCTGTCTCGACCACGACCGTTTCCCTCCACCCACCCACCACCTTCCCCACCCCCCCCCCCCCCCCCCCCCGGTACTCCCTTTTCTCGAGTCTTTACCGACCCCGCCCTCCGTCCAACATCAACATGAAGTTTTCCCTGATCTCTTCCCCTCGCTCTGCCCTCGCCTTGCTGGCCATGGCCGCATCCTTCGCCGGCGCCGCATCCGTCGATACGGGCCGACTGGAGGTTGTCAAGCGGACCTCGAGCGGCTTGAAGGGGATGCCGGCTGTCACGGGCAGCGCTTCCGGCTGGTCCCTTGACGATTCCAGCGACCGCGGCGCCGACGCCGACGTCTGGGACCTCGCCGTCGGCGCCCTCACCGGGGTCAACAACTTCGGCAATCTCGACGCTGTCGACGATCTGTGGACGGTGAGTGTGCCCCTCCTGAATGACTTGCAAGCCTCCGTGGGGCGTCCGGCTCCGTGCATGCCGACCTTCGCTGACACTGAGCTCGATCCGGGCCTCCATGCACAGGCTATCTACAATGTGTGGACATTTTTGCTCAACGATATGTGGCTCAGCCTCAAGCGTCCCAAGAATCCCGATCCAAAGCGTGCTCACGAAGGCGTAGCCGTGTGCAGCCATGGCGACTCGTACTTCTACACGGACAGTGACAAGGACAAGGACACGTCCTGGAAGCACGCCCGCAAGTACACGTTCTTCAACGTCAGGTACCACAGTGGCAAGCATGACAAGACCGTCAGCATGGAGTGAGCAGCAAAGGGATCGTTCTCCATGACAGATCCGCAGCTGAGCTTACCTGGCACGCCCATGACCTTGATCTCCTGGCATTTCCGCCTTCGCTTCCGGGCTCACGCTCCCTCTCTCTCACGCGCTCGTGACGCTCAGCTTCGATTGCTTCTACATGGTCGACAACGGCCTCCACTACATCACCGAGCACACTCCTCACATCATGATTTCTGAGTCGTCAAACTGCCACCTTGACGGCTCGAGCTTTGATGTCTACTGCTCGTAGCGACGAGCCGGACCGCGTCCGTAACAGCGGCTCACCTCGCTGCGGGGCAAGACGCCCATCGCAACGCTCGGTGTTGGCCCGTTTAGCCTCGCACACGGCGGCGGCGGTTCCATGACGAGCAGCTTGAAAGCAAACCGGCCGTACGTCGGCTGGTCAAAGGCCCGTTTGCAGCAGGGCGCGCCCGGGCGACGTGACCATCTATGCAATCTGCTCGAAGCTTTCGCTATATCCCTTCCGAGGCTTCGGCATCCCTCTTTCTCCAAGTGTCACGACAGGCCATATGCCGTACCTCTGCGCACCTCCTATTCCTCCCGCTCCTGGTGTAACATGGCGGCGTGCCGCTCGGATCCCCCCTCCTATCCCTCCTTTGCCCTGTCTTGCACGCCCTCCTCGCTCGCGAAAGATCATTCATGGCAGGCAATCGACGGCCGGGACGCGCGCGCAGCGCCTCGTCTTGCGAAGAGGGGCATCTGCCGTCGAAGGATTGCAAGTCGCTCTTGCTCATTTGCACACAACCTACGGCCAGCAGGCGATTGGGGCCTCGCATCCTTGTACATGTCGTCTCTGGGATTGGGCCGTCGTACATCGCACTCGCCTCGGTCCGGCGCATCTATACTCCGTCTCCATCTCATCTTCTCCCGACTCGCCCGGTTGAGCGCCGCGGGAATCAGGTACGAGAGAAGACAAGAGAAGAGGGCGGTATCCGCTGCGCGAAGGCCCCCTCCCCCGACGGCTCGCCCACCGAGCCCACCGAGCCCACCGACAGAGGACCGAGTGCGAGACAGGCACCGAGCGTGAGCCGTCCAACGACGACCGCCCAACCATCGCAGAATCATATCAGATCTTGGGCCATCTTGCCGCGCCACCATGGTCCCACCGGGCTGACGCGGGCTGCAGCGCCCGTCGCCGTCGTATCTACTACGTTGTTGGCACGGCGACGAAGCGGCGTGCCGACGCAGTAGTGCCGTGCATAAAGCGCCGCGGGCATCTCGCCCATCCCCCTCGTCTCGGACCACTCATCCCTCGTCGCCACCTCTCCTCGCTCCTCTGGCCCTCTAACGCGCCTCTCTTTTCAATCAGACGCCCTCACTGTGTCGAGTCAATACCTGGACCGAGAAGCGGGCCCGTCGTCAAAGCTGTTCATCGTAACGTCGTGCCAAGGTTCGACCAAGAACTTGAATCGCATCAGGCTGGGGCGCAGCGGCGGATGGCGGCGGTGGAGGAATAGAATCGTTTCTGCCTCGGTCGCTACCGACACGGCGGCCTCCCTCTCGCTCGCTCCTTCTCGAATACAGGATTCGACATGCCGTGCCGTGCTGGCTCGGCCGAGCTTTTCAGTCGTCAAAGTCTTGCGGGTTCTGCAGGAGACGGGCGCGGCCGGGCGAAGCTGGTCAGCGACTCGGTTACACCAGGTCGCAAAACGAACGGGCAAAGGCAGCACAGCCTGAACTCGCCTCCCGCCGCAACTCACCTCAAAGTAATATTGGACCGCCATCTCGACGTTCTTGCCGCACATGAAGTAGCTCTCGATCGCCTTGCTTTCCGGGATGCCCATCTGAACAATCTGTGCGTGGCGGCGGGTAGGTAGGCAGTGGTAATGCCGGGTCAGCGAGCAACTTCACCTCGCCGTAGTCGCTAGTGTGCTGGCAAAGCGCGCGCGCGCACTCACCTGCTGGACAGCCGTTCGGTCCTCTTCGCTAAGCTCGGCCATTGTCGGGAGGTCCATCTCCTCACCGCCGCCGGCGCCGCCGGCCAGGAGGCTCAGCACGCCCTGCGGGTCCTGGTTGAGGGCCTCAGCCAGCTGCGGGTTGCTCTGGGCAATGGCCTGCACCAGCGGCTGCAGCGCCGCCGGGTTCTGCTGGACGAGCTGCTGCAGCTGGGCGAGCATTGCCGGGTTGCCGAGGTCAATGACCTGCTCGCCGTTTCCGTTGTCCTCGCCCGGCAGGTCACCCAGTGCACCGGCTCCAGCACCAGCGCCGGCGCCACCTCGCCCGCCGCCCTGCGCCTGAGCAGCGGCCGCCTCAAAGAGGTTGCCGGCACGCGGGTTGGACGGCGTCCT